AAAGCACTAGGAAAAAAATAAGCTTGCTTTGCTGATTGCCCTGCACAAACATATGTATATACTTCTCTCTGCTCATACTGGGCCTGAGGGAGATCTTTAAATTTAAGTGCCTTCTGGACACTTAAAAAAGTTGGAGATCTCTGCAGAAACAATTGAACTTGGACAATAACTTCTGTAACGCCAGATCACTTGAGGTATGATTACTGGCAAGCATGTTTCCTTTGAAGTTGTAGAGTTTTCAGAATTGATACAGTTCCAAGTCTTTACAAATTCTGTTTCTTGTAGTTCTGTGTTAGAAGCAAGCAACACAATACTATTTTTAAATCTCCACCGCTTATCCTGAATGGCAGTTGGCAGTGGATGAAAATGTAATGATAGCAAACAAACCTATCATCAACTAACATGTTGAGGCTTTGAATTCTGTAGTTGGATTTAGGTGCCCACATTTTATGGTGTCCATTGTCTAGCTGAAAATTAGTTTAGGAACTTGTACAACATCCTTAACGTTTTCATATTGTTTCCTAAGGGCTAAAATAGGAATTGCTTTTTCTACAGACTTCTTATATGGGGAAACAGCAAGCTATCCTGTTATCATGTACAGTCCTATTGGCTCTCCCACCCTTTACAGTGCAATCTGCACATGTTTCCTCAGAAGCAAACTCCATGGAATGCAACTTAATTGCATTGAGCTGCATTGTGCATCATCTAAACAGGAAGACACATGACCTGAAGGCAGGGAGGATAACCAGACTGAGGGATGTTTTAGTGATGACACGCCATCTAGTGAATCCTTTCTTCAGGGAGGCTGTTGTGATACCAGTGTTGCTGTCTTCTAGACACCAGGGAATCCTCTTTTTAGTTTTTCAGTTCTTGGAAGAGCAATAGATTGGGAAAGAAAAGTAAATGCCTTGCTACAAAGGTGGTATTAACATGAAAGTTTTGGATTCGGGAACCATGGGCTACATTTCCTGGAAGACTGCTGGCATGGGATGGGATGCACCTGTAAAGGACTGGAAGGAATATGTTTGGCCACAGCATGAAGAAGTTTAGCAGAAGGGGAGGGAGAAGTACACCTGGGAATAACAGTAGACAAAGGCTTATACACCGCAATGGAGAGAGCAGCTCTAACAGTGCCCAACAATAGTCTTCAAAAAAATGTAGGAAGAAAGCTAGAGTATAAAGCGCATGGTGTTCGATGTCTATATACTAATGCACAGAGTATGGGAAACAAACATCATGAACTTGAACTTGTAATATACGAGGGTGAATATGACCTGATAGGCATAACTGAAACTTGGTGGGATGACTCCCATGACTGGAATTCAACAATTGAAGGATAACCTGTTAATCTGGATCAACGTAAATGGAGCAAGGAACAAAAGGAACAGAGTGGCAAGAGTCTATTACTGACCACCCAGTCAAGGAGAAGACGAGGATGAGATCAAGTTTATGTAACTGCCCTTGACATATAGAAGTTGCTACTGTGTTAACAGTGTTCCTGTTACTCCCCAGTATCTGTTGGGAGACAAATTCTGCCAAACATGGCCCCTCCAAGAGATTCCTAAAATGTGTTGTTGATAACTTCCTCCAACAGAAAGTGGAGGAAGTAACAAGAGGAACAGCTGTCCTTGACTTGATACTAACTAGCAGGGAAGATCTAGGAGGCAAAGTGGCAGCTAAGGAAACTCTGGGGCAGTGGTTTTCAACCTTTCCATAGCTGGGGATTGGCGAAAACAGGAAAACCAGCTCAAGGGCTGCTGAGGCAGAAACAAAAAGTTGTCTCTCCCCTCCCTGGCCCCTCTGTGCACCCCCCGTGAATGTGATGCCAACCAAGGAAGAGGTGGTGGAGCACAGCCAGCCCCCATGCCAGTCCATGGGATGTAGCACCCCAGAGGGCCAGCAGGAAACCTCTGGTGGAGCGGTGGTTGAAAATCATTGCTCTAGGGGACAGTGTCCATGCCATACTTGAATTCTTGATTCTAAAGGAAGCAAAATCCAAATGTAGCCAAGCAAGTATCCCAGATTTTAAGAAAGCAAATTTTGATAAACTCAGAACAAGAATAAGAAAATATGCATGGCAAGTGACTCCAATGAGAAATGGAGTCAAAGAGAAGTGGAGATTTTTCAAAAAAGGGAATTCTGAAGGCAAAATTGCGAACAATTCCAACAAGTGAAAGAGTAGAAAACAGACAAAGCCTATGTGGATTCACAAAAAGCTTAGAGATGATCTCAAAAAAACAAAAAACAAAAACCACAGACATGTAGGAAGTGAAAGGAAGCCCAGGGTACAAAGGAAGAATATAGGCAGGTAGCATAGAATTGCAGGGATATTGCAGGGATGTCAGAAAGGCTAATGCTAGAAATGAACTTAGGCTAGTGAGGGCTACTAAAAGCAACAAGGAAGTTTTCTTCAGATAGGTCAGAGTAAAAGAGGAACGATATGGGGGTTCAGCTACTCCGGGTGGATGGCACAATGAGAACAGATGACAAAGAAAAGTCTCAGTTCCAAACTTATCTCAGTCTTTTCCCAAAAGAAGATCTATGACCTCCTGAAGGGGAGGTACAAAGTGAAGGTGCAGGATTGCAGTTGAAAATTGACAGGCAAATGGCCAGAGGTCTTCTAGTTGAGCCAAATGAATTCAAATCTCCAGGGCTTGATCAACTCCATCCTAGATAAAGGAGCTAGCAGAAGAACTCGCAGAACCATTGTCTGTTGTATTTGAGAAATCTTGGAGGACAGGGGAAGTAGAAGTACCAGATGACTGGACAGAGCTAATGTGATTCCTGTCTTCAAGGGAGAACAGTACAGTGATTGCTAGAAGTCAATATGGATTCTCAAGAGCAAATGCTGTCAGACTAATCTGATTTCATTTTTTGACTGAGCAATCTCGCTGATGGACTGTAGGAATGCTGTGGATGTGAGCTATCTTGCAAAGCTTTTGACAAAATGGCCCATGATCTTCAGATTAGCAAACTAGCTAAAAGTGGGCTAGATGGAACAACTATTAAGAGAATGCACAGTTGGCTACAGAATCAGACTCAGAATTCTAAGCAATAGCGCCTTACCAACTGGAGCCTGGTAACAAGTGGGATACCACAGGGTTCATTCCTGGGTCCAGAGCTCTTCAATATTTTTATTACTGATTTGGATGAAGATCTGCAGGGAAGAATGATTGAATGGGCAGATGGCACTAAACTGGGTGGGATAGTGAATACCCTGGAAGACAGAAAGAAGTTTGGAATGCTGGGCTGGAAACAGCAGAATGAAATTCAGTAGCAACAAATGCCAAGTTCTGCACCAAGGAAAAAGAACCAAATGCATCACCAGAAGATGGGGAATACTTGGCTCAACATTACTGCAAGTGAGAAGGATCTTGAAATTGTTGTAGGTCACACACTGAATATGAGTCAACAATATGATGTCGCTGTAGAAAGGGTTAATGATAATTTAGGCTGTATTAGTATAAGTAGCACTTCAGAATCCCATGAAATATTAGTTTCCCTCTACTCGGCACTGGATAGGCCGCATGTGGAGTACTGTGTCCAATTCAGGCCACCACAGGTTGAGAAAGATGCATACAAGCTGGAAAGGTCTCAGAGGAGGGCAACAAGGATGATTGAGGGACTGGACATAAAGCCCTGTGAGGAGCCTCAGTCTTATCTTGAGAAGATAAGACTGAGGGCAGATGTGATAGTGTTCTTCAAGTACTGGAAAAACTGTCACAAAAAAGGAAGGACAGGATCTCTTTTTATCATCGCAGAGCACAGGGCACAGAATAATGCCCTTAAATTATAGGAAACCAGATTTCAACTGGATATCAGGAAAATTTCACTGACTGTTAGAGCAGTACGACAACACCAGAGGCATTCAGGATGCATCTGAGAGGGATAGTTTAACAATGGCCCTCTGGCCCCTTTCAGCTCTACTACGCCATGACTTTATGAACAGTTTTAACCCTTTCTGATCATCTGCTTTTATTTGCCCTAGCTTATCATGCAATTCTATTTTTGTGTACATTGTGTCTGGAACAAATTCCAGGAGAGGGTAGCATATGAATAATGTACTTAGTTCTATATAAGAATTTTAAATAAATGGCATACACCTATTTTAAATCAGTTACTAAATACTGCAGAAATTCTAGCCTAGCTTACAGCCAAATGCTTATAGTTGGCTAAGTGGAGGGAGGGTCTGAACACAAAACACATGAGGACTAAACGATTCTATGTGCATAGAATATCATTCTGGAGCATCCATGGAGGCTGAGCCACCTAAGTGTCAGGAGTCAAGACTTTTTTGCTTTTATTACAGCAGCCTTCCCAGTGCTATCACTTTACCTTTGCTATAGGAAATTGCAATGATCTATTTCTGGGGGTGGGGGAAGGAAGACTTGGGATTAGGGACATTGACTAGGAGCCCTGTCTGCTTCTGTGTCTTTGTGTCCAGTATCTAGGGCAGGAGTATGTAATCTTCTGCTCTCAGGTCACTAACCTGGGTCTAATTTCAAAAGCTTTCTGCTAAAACTCCTTTCATACTCAAGGCAGGAATGAACTATCTGCTGCCCAGCATTCTGTTGATTAGGGAGAAGGAAAGAGAGAAGAATGTTTTGGAGACTGAGAAAGGAAAGTGGCAGAAAGAAAGACAGGAAGAAAGTTTGAAAGAAAGGAGAGCACTTCTGGTCTGGCTTCTGGTCTGTCTACTGTTGGTTTATGGACCTCAAGAGATTTTCCCTGGAGGAATGTGGTCCTCAACAGAAAAAAATTTGCTGTTCCTAGTTTAGAACAAACATGAGATTTAGCACACCCTCTTGAACTGTTTTCCAGATTGTTGTCTATTTAAAGCCCTGCTCTTTGTTTTGTTTTTTGTTTTTTTTTAGTGACCATGGCATGTAGGAGAACTTTCAAAATATAAATAGATTATATATCACAACTTTGTGCAAAAGTTTGATGTTTTCTGTCAGGTGTGAATATGATGTGAAAATATTATTCATTTTACTTTGCAGGCAAGGTGGTTCTGGGAAGCTTACTTTCAATCAATGAAAGCTATTGCTTTGACAACCCTCAAGATTATCAATGACAGGATCTACCCATATGCTGCAACATCGTATGAAGAATGGAATGATCCACCAGCAATTGTAAGTGGAATTACATTTCTAATACATGGACCGAGCAATCGTATAGCTCTTAGAATCAGTAGGATGTTGTGGATTCCTACAACAGCTGGAACTACGGGGTGGAAATCAAAGTGTGGCTTCTTCTGTAGACATCTCTCATAGGAAGAACTCCAGCAGCTTCTTTTTGGAAAGTGCAAATAGTGTCTGTCTGTCTGTCTGTCTGTCTGTCTTTTCTTATTTATTTGGGTATTTCCAACCCATCCAATCACTACACGTGTCTGGACTTGTCTGTGGAAGAAGAGAGAGAGAAAAGGGTGTGAAGAGTGTGGAGACTGAATGCAAGAGCCTTTTTACTGTTCCTTCCCATCGGAATGCAAATCTACTACATTGGCTGAAAATTATTAAAACAGAGGATGGAGAGTATGTAAAAGCCTTTGCCTTCCCCACGCTGCACCCTGACTCTTGCTTACAGGGTTTTGGATAGAAATCAGAGTGTGCTGTCTATGGTGTATCACTCCCATAGAATTATGCTCTTAATATGCTAGGCACTTAAAAAGCAAGGCTAGAATTTTCTGGTGTTCTTTTTTATGTTTTATTTTTTAACATGAATGACTGATTTTACTTAGCTTGATACAAAATATAGTCTACATTCCTGAGAGGAAATATTAGTGTGTCATTGTTACACAATTTAGGCATCTATGCTTTACTCTTAAAATTGAGAGTGTTGTTGTACACATGATAAATAAAAGTTTAGACACTTTGGGGCAAACCCCGTCTAGTGATGCAATTGTATCATGAGTTTTTTCCATGTTTGGAAAGTCCATTTTGTCCACACAGTTGTTATGATATGTGCAGCATACTTCTGCCCTGAGAAAACTGATCCAGTTGTTGTCAGAAAAGCTGCCATTTGTTACCTGTTGTGCCATGCTAACCCAGAGCAATTCCCACAGAGTAGCTTGTTTTGACAACAAACTACTCTGACAACCCATAGCTTGTGTAGTCATTGTTGTTCCCACAATGAGTTGTTTCATTGTTTGAACCTGGGTAACTGACCCCACTTTGGGTACTGGGGATGGACTAGTGAATTACTAGCTGAAGTGACAAACTCCCCCTTGTTGGTCTTGCCAAACTTGCTCAGGCCGCCACTGCCAACTACCCTGCACTTGGAAGCATCTAGCATTGGATGGATGTTCTCAGCTGCAGTTGTGAGCTGTGTTGTGATCACCATGAATTTTGTTCATTTTAATATTTGGAGATGGCTAAAGCTGATTTGACAGCTGGCTTTTGCTGTCCCCAGTTTGACAGCCACTAACAGTCTCATTAACGTGCCCAAGTGGTTATCAGAGCTTTAAAAAATTGCATGCAAAATGCTCACAAGTAGGCCTTACTATTACTGCTACTGCTACTACTACTACTACTATCCTTTAGCATCACTTGTACAGCTGCAGTCTTTGCAGCTGTGCCAGTGCAGGAATTTGAAGCCTTAGCTGGGGTGATGTCCTGGAAGCTACCTATTGCAAAAACCAATCCTGGATGTTGCCCCCAAAACCTGACAGCTGCCAAAATGCAAACTGTCAAGAGAAAGCAAACTGTACAAGTAGCTTGTGAAAAGCTAGTGGCTTTTGACTAGGGCATCTTTCTCAACTAAAAAACAAAGCACAGCACTGCTTTGAAAAACTGACATAACACCTGCAGTTTTCTGCTTTCATCCAACACTTCCCTGATTCCCCAGTTAATTGAGAAAGGAAAGATACAGGCTTTCCACATTTTTTGTCATTCCCTTTCCCAACGTTTACTGGTGCAGGTTTTTCTCCCTAAGGTGCCAGAAGTATATGCCCACATTTAAAGCCTAGGAACTAAATAGAGGGTTGGAGCAAATTTTGTGCAACTTAAGTAGCTGCTGTGAAAGTGAACTGTGAAAACTATAAGGCAGAAGGGAGAGCCAGTATCTCTCTTTTCTCAGCTTGCTGGGGACATGGGGAGATACTGAATGGAAGAACAGTGTCAGGTGTCAGTTAAATACTTAGAAGTGGGAAGAGTAGATTACTAAGTGAGAAATAATATCCCTTCAGCTTTTTGGTGCACCTAAATGCAACCCTGTCTAGTCAATTGCCTTGTAAATTGCCTGCTGAACTTCACCCTATTTGACAGCTGAAACTTACAAAGATAATGATAAGGTAAGACTAAACACATTGGACAAGAAGAGGCATGTGATCTTTGCAGACACAAACTCACAGTTTCGAGAACTGTAAAACCACACATCTGTGATAATATCTTTTAGACAGAGAAACTGCCCAATAATCTTACAGTAACCTATGGAGGAGAATGATATTAGCATGTAGCATGAGGAGCGTGAATGGATTAATGGAATTAATTTACCAAAAAATGTAAACATTGCATGAATATACAGCCTCATTCTACATCATTAAAAATGAATCCTTATTTCATGGTGAATAACCTTTGGACTACAGTGTATCTTAAATAAAAAACTATATTTAGATATATTTTTTCCTCAAAAAAGCATTTCATCCGAATTTAAAGGATAATCCAAAATTTTAAAAAATCCAGATTAAATAAAAAAAATCTGATTTAAATTTAAAAATCCAGTTTTTACTTTTTTAAACAATCATTAATTTTTATCTACCCTGAGCACAGAGCAGGTTGTGAAAGGTAAACTTGGGGGGGAGGTTGTCTTTCTTGCTGAGCACCACTGTAGCCACTCCCACAATGCTACTAAAATTACTCTCCTGGGTACAGTGGACTCTGAGCACCAGCTGGTATGAGAAGAAGAGCACATGCTAGAAGAAGCCATGGATTGTGAGAATAGCTCATTCCCAAAAATTTACCTGGCATGAGAAACTGGTCCAGTTTCAGACAACATGACAAAGTATCATGGCTAGCTGCCCAGGATGGGTGTTGTGTTATATGAACCCATACAACTCATTCATTTTCTTTTGCAACAAAAGGAGATTTAAAGGCGTATAGGCAGTCCTCAAGTTATGAATGTCTGAGTTACAAATGACCTGTTCTTATGAATGAACTTCCATAAAGCCTATTGATTTTTTTTAAAATACTGCAAAAAATCATCATTACCATAGAGAGAGAGGAAGCGAAAGGGGAGAGAGGGAGGCTCCAAACAGACCACCCTGCCTCCCCCAGCTGGAGAGGGAAATCTCTCCAGCATTTCCTTGCTGCAAAGATGAGGCATTCGTTTTGGCAGTGAGTGTGAGAGATATTCAGTTTTTTCACTTTCATAGGGTCCCACACTCCTGACCCCCATGAATGAGAAGGGCCAATCATACATAATCCAACTCATGTACAATTAAGACTTAAAGACAAAATTCTGTTTTCTCAGAAATGGAACTTATTCATAACCCAGGGACTGTCTGTACTCACATTTTGTTAGTGAATTTCAAGTTTAAGGAGTTTTCCTAAGCTTGCTTTGAAACACTACAAAACTGCTGCCATTGTTTGTTTGTTTTGAAGTTTGGGGTATGGTTGTCATAAGTTGTAACTTATCATCACTAATTTAATGAGAATCACTGTATGCAGAGCAATAAACATCTTTTGTCAGTAGGCCTCCATTTTCTCTGTGAGTAATTGCAGAGAGTAACCTTGCTGAGAGACAGGAAAAGGACTCCCTCCTAAATGAAACTGCAGATTAGTAGTTCAAAGCATGGTTTATGTGTAGCTTTGGGTAGAGGAAGAGATAATACAACAAATTATCTGAAGAAACATTGTACTCTAGAGGAACTAAGCAGGTATACTTTTGTCAGCCATGTAGATTATTCTTTAACATCCATATGCAAATAGCTCCAAATTCCTCAGTGGAAAAGCATATTGCTCATTAATTAAGTGATGGATGTTAAAAAGTAGCTGAACTTTGATTCAGTCTTGCTTTCCATCTCCTTTTACTGTCATCTAGTATCACACATTCCACCTGGCTGAAGTACCCTTGTGCGATTCGCAGTGTATTCCTCTACCTAACTTCAGATGCAGCATTTCTAATATTCTGTTTCTCCTAGTGTGCAGAATTTGCTTTAATCTTATAAAGTTGACTTTAGGAGTCGTTTTTGTAAATGCCACTGTTTTACTTGCAGAATTGCACTTGAGGAAGTGGGTTTTTAAAAAAGTCAATAGTTCTGTTAGTTTTTGGTGAGTTTGGATGACATGATGATCATGAAAAAGTATAAAAGACAACAGAGGAAGCCCAGATGGTTCCACACAAAGTTAATGGATGAAAACAAAATCCTGAAAGGAAAAAAGAACATGTATAGCAAGTGGAAGCAGGGCCAGGCCACAAAGGAAGAATATAAACAAATAGGAAAGAATTACAGGGACAACATCAGGAAGGCTAAAGCAGGAAATGAACTGAGACTAGCAAGGGATGCTAAGAACAACAAGAAAGCCTTGTTCAGATACATTCAAAACAAAAGATACATGAAAGAGAAGGGCGTCCAACTACTTAAAGTGAATGGCAGAGTGATATTAGACAAAAAGAAAGGCATAGGTGCTCAATTTTTACTTTGCTTCAGTCTTTTCCCACAAGAATATCTACAATCCAGGGGAAGTACAAGCTGAAAGTGAGAGATGGTAGACCAAAATTGACAAACAAATGGTCAAGGAATAAACATGGAGTAGATGGAATAAACATGATCAAATCTTCTATTAGAGTCATAAAAGAGCTAATGGAGGAACTATCAGAACCACTGGTTATTATCTTCGATAAATCTTGGAAAACAGGAGAAGTGCCAAACAACTGGAGAAGGGCTAACATTGTCCCTATCTTCAAAAAAAGGGTAAAAAAGATGAACCTGGGAACTACAGACTGGTTAGTTTGGCATCAATCCCAGGAAAAATTCTGGAGAAAATTAATTAAACATCTTTCTGCAAGCATCTTGAAGAAAATGCAGGGATTAATAGAAGCCAACATGGACTGGGCTGAAAGCAACAGAAAGAGATTCAATAGGGACAAGTGTCAAGTCCTGCACCTAGGAAAAAGAAACCAATTGCGTCAGTAC